GCTGCCCAGTATGTGAACTCATTCAACACGATCATCTTCTCATTCGCTGTCTCTTGAAACACGGCTTCACCTTGGGCTCTAGTGAGATCCGTCACGGGCTGCTCCTCCACTGTATCTCGCGGTCGCTGGGTTGGCGAGTGCTCTATCTTAGGGTCTTCTCCCAAACATTCCGGATCATTCGGTCTTCGCGCGCCGTCGATGTTTCCGATGACAAGGTCGTACAGGGGGGTCGTCATGCATAAAGCAGTAATCTTCCCGCTGAAGTACGGGGTTTCAACCTCAATTTCTGCTTCGTGAAGCATCCGAATTGTACGGTCACTTAGGCAAACCGGTTTCGTTTTGCCTGTTAACTCACTTTCCCGTACCAAATTTCTCCGCACGATAACAGTGGAGCTGCCGGTATCTCTTAACACCGTAATCTTTTTGTCCGCAACTTTTTCAGGCAGCGTTGGCATTCCCTTCGAAACACCGGTTGGCTGTTTTGTCATTACAGCACCCACAATAGGGATTTTCTCCCCATTTTTCAACTCTACAAATCCGTCGGTGACGGAATTATTATCGGATTTCGGTGCTGCTAGCACACAGGATACCTGGTGAGTTTGACTCGCTCCGTTTCGACATGCGTCTGCTTTGTGCCCAGTCTGACCACACTTGAAACATTTTACAGCCGTGGGGCTCGTGAAGTTAGTTCGGCAGTTTTTAGCGCGGTGACTCACTCGGTTACACAGAAAACATCGCGGAATGCTCTCCGGTTCACGCTTCTTTTCTTCGGGAGCCGATTTCTTTGAATCTTCAGGACACTCCTTCTTAACCCTGGCCAAATTTGTTCCACCTTGCCCTTCCAAGAATTGATCAGCCAATTCGAGCATGCCTTCAAGTGACTCAGCCTTCCCCTCTTTCAAGTACAGCGACAGGATTGGGTGGCAACTAGTGAGAAATTGTTCTCTAATTAGGAGCTCTCTAAGCTCATCGTACTCCTGCGCTGTCCCTGAAAGTTCAATCCATCTGTCGAAATAATGGCAAAGTCGGGCGGCATACTGCGTAGCCGTCTCCCCATCAGCTGGCTTTCCTGTCCGAAAACTGTCCCGGAATCCTTCCACAGTAAATCTAAATCGCTTCAGTAAAGCAGCTTTCACCTTTGCATAGTTGGCTTCATCAGTTGGCGTCAGCCTACCGTAAACACTGAGCGCTTCACCACTCAAGGAAGTACTCAAAGCAGTTGCCCATTGGTGTTCCGGCCAATTCTGGCTACTCGCAATCGTCTCAAATCGGTGAAGGTACGCGTCAAGGTCGTCCTTCCTCTCATCGAACGCTACGAGCAGCTTGCTTGGGTTCAAGCGGAAGCCGTGGTCCTCCCGTTCGCTGCTTTCAACTTTAGCTTGGACGGAAGTTTCACTTTGCTGCTGCAAACGGAGCAGCTCGAGTTCCATCTCGTGCTGTCGCTGCCGTTCCCTTTCAGCCATCTCCCCTTCTCTTTCTTCTTTCAGCTGTCGCTCCCTCGCTTCTCTTTTTTCTCTCGCTCTTTCGGCTGCCAACTTCTCTCTCTCCAGCTCGAACTTCAATTGCTGCTCTCTTTCTTCTTTAAGCTGTCACTCCTTTGCCTCTCTTTCTTCTTTCTCTCTCTCAGCTGCCAACCTCTCTCGTTCCAACTCAGCTGCTCTCTCTTCCTTGGAATTCTCAACTGCCAACCTCTCTCTCTCCAACTCAGCTTCTTTTTCCGCTTTGGCTCTTTCGACCGCCAACCTTTCTTTTTCCAGCTCAGCTGCCTTTTCTTCTTTGGCCCTCTCTTTTTCTTCTTTTTCCTTCTGGGTGACCCACTTCCGTAGTTCGGCGCCAGAAAGACCCATCTTCTCACCAAGAGCGACTAACTTTTGGAGATCCATTGTGTCTCACAAATAAAACCTTGCCATGTGCAAAAAATATCTGCCTAAATCAGTCTATCGGAACACTCCCCTGCACTCGTTAACGAGAACACTGAGCAACACACAAAATCGTTCCGATAGCACCATCAAACCTTGAGGCTCTTTCTCACTACTTTGGACACACTGTGCACCAAAAGGTCCTCGTCGCGGACGCCAGAATAATTGTCACGCAGGTCCCGTCAGTTCGGGAGGCGATTGCCGGGCTAATTCCAAGGGCCGAGGTATCGGCCCTCCGAACCGCACCACGAAAGCGTGGACAATTTAGAAGTGGTCCTATTTGGCGCACCAGCGGACGCCGGCTGTGGCCCAAAAGAACAAGCCAGAGCCGAGAGTTGGTAAACAAACGAAATTATATTCTCAATAATGGCAGATCAAAACAACACACAAGTATGCACACTTCACAGTAGTTGAGTACACTATGTCACCAAACAAACAACGTACTACACAGTACAATCAGCCACACTCGAAACAACGGACACAGACAACAATACGCACTACAATGCAGTCGCATGCATTGAACAACCAAGACACTTAAAGACTAAAAAGATAGGAAACCTATTCAGTCCAAAGTTCTTGAAACAAAAGTCTGGATGACACTCTTCCGAGAGTCACTCACTCAAAGTCCAGCGTTGTTGTCGTTCCGCTGCCCTCAAAGTTTCTCTTCCAGGAAACCTCGCGTATTCAATTGGCCACTCTCCAAGCTTCAAACTTCTTCGCCGGAAACACGTCGGCTTCACACACGCAGCTGTTGCCACGCGTCTTCGCTCGATAGTGGCAAACACACACTCTTGCCTGTAGCTCGAGTCGTGACCCCTCAGGTGGAAATCATCTTCTTCTCCTGCTTTGTATCTACGGACAAAACCTTCGCCGACTACACGGCGGAATCCCTACGCGCTCTGGCGCTAACTTCCGCCTTCTCCTGATCTCTCACCTCGGCTGCTCCATTAAATACCTTCCGCGCGAGATTCCAGAAAGTTCTCCTCATTTCGTCGGCGCGATACGCAGCGAAGGCTGGGGAGAGGGCGAGACGGTTCGAATGCCGTCCGCGACGGATGACTCAACCCGGCATCACCACGCCCCTTTCCTGCTAGAAAGTTCCAGTGCTTGCTCGGCGCTTATGAGAGGAGGTTCGTCTGCGAACCCACGCTTCCGAGGGGAAAAGGACGCGCGCGCCCGGGGAGTCCCTGTATGCTTGTTTTCTTTTTCTTTTTTCCGTTGACCTCGCGGCGTCTCTCCCGCGCGTTATCGCGAGAATTGGGCGGCGCGCCCTTTTTGAGAGCTCGTTTTGTGACAGTGTAATACAACCTACTCATCTACAAGCTTTTGCCCTACGAGACGATCAAATCTTAGAATATGGCTTTGTGGCATGGTTCCCATCCACCTAAAATCAGATTGCTATTATTGAGGATTTGCAACAAAAAGCTATGCGTTTTATCTCTATCAGATGCAGACGCACCGACTAGCGCATGCAGATGCTATCAGTGCTGATTGTTAATACGATATCTAGTCGTGTAGTGCTATTCAGACTCAAATTTTAAGTACCTCATCATGCATAACAAAAATAAAGTAGATTCAATTGGCTTGATTTTCTACAACAGTTTCAACGAAACTCGTCATAAGGAGCACTTCAAACTCCCAGACTACGTTTGCTCCAACAATGCGCTTAGCTTCTTGTCCTTTCTGCGACTGTTAGGGAGTGGAACGTCTTATCCGAAACGGCGGTCACAGAGCCCTCTGTTTAAAAATTTGCGGAACTTGCTGGTGAAGCCGTTCTATCAGCAACACATAAGCTACGCTATATTTATTGTGTTCATCATTGTCTTTCTGAGCTGCATGTGTAATATTGGTGATGCAAACTGATACAGTTATTTTTGTATCATATGTTTGTCTTTTTTTCAAATTTTATTCTATTATTACGCTGATTATGAAACTGAGACAATGTTATTGCGTTAACTTTTCGTATTGTTTAACAAATAGAGGGATAATGATGTAACGCCTTACTGTTATCTCTGTAACCCTATAGATGCAATTTAAACCTTTCTGCGTAAGCACCACTACGTTTGTATTTTCTCAAAACCACTCCTGTGGAATCCTAGACGGGATTAAAAAAATCCCTATACAAGTTATAAAACAAATAACTTAATATAATTTGCGAAGGTATTTGATTCCGTCGATGTACAAGCAGTCATGGACACGCATTGGTATCAGGCCGTCCACGAAAGACATATAAATACAGCGAAAGAATCCAAGAACGTATGAACAACCACCGAAGTTTTTTTTTTCATTTAAGAAAGTTACAAAATCCCAATAAAGAATTTAAGTCGAAGAGACGTGGTCTCAAAAATTCTACTAACCGCATGTTTACAAGCTTTGAGGGCTCTAGAGAGGGAAGAGTAAGAGATAGGAGCGAATGGAGAGTACTTTTGCAAATTGCAGAGCACTGATGACAATTAATTGATGAGCAACTGAGGAGATGGAATACAACTCATGGTAACTGCATTAGATATAAAAAGCAGAAAAAGAGACCTCAGAATAATTACGCATAAAACTGTAGTAACCAGGAACAGTCTCGCGAGAGAACTGCGCTTTGCGATACGTTGCAAAACACTATAGTTCGTAGAAGAATATGTTTGTTTAGTTCAGTTAGTATCCGTTGTGCTTAACCATTACAGTGAAGTATCATAAATAAAGACGTTTTAGACGAATATTTCATAAAATAAATGCTTGAATACAAAGGAACCCAGATATCAGCCGTCGTAGCCGGAAATATTATAATCATTCCGTATTTTTTAACAGAATTAACACACGTGGTAACCACTAGTATAAGGGAACTACAAGACTTGACCAAAAGCGCATTCAGATTCAACATGACAAACAACAAAGATGGACGCCTGTGAAATTTTGGGGATCACGAGAACAAAAGTCATGATTTGTTTCATTACTGGGAAAATTGGGGATTGTTGCTTGTGAATTGCGGAACATTACTTCGAGAATGAACATGTACTTTTTACGAAGAGCACTTTTAGTGGGAAAACGAATCCATGGCATTTCTGGTGAAAGCACTTTTTTCCGTCACAGATGCCTCTTGTTGGTTGGGGACGATAAAAGTGCGAATGTTGCAGCCAGTAATTGCGAGGTGAGTAGATAACAGTGTTGTTGTTTTTTGTCCCAGCCTGTCGGCATGCATCATCCTTCCTCTGGTGCCGTGACGTCGATTTACTTGAGCGCAGCAAGACAGAGTACACTTTGTCCCACCAAGAAATAAGTTCGCTCTCTCTCTCTCTCGACTTAACGCTCGATGCGTTGCCAGAGACTGGAACGATGCTCGTCCACTATAGTTACGTTCCATCACCCACGTGAGACTACACACTGCACAACCTTTTACCATCCACCCCGTATATATAGGCACAGGGTGCTGACATTCAGTGTAGTGCTAGTGGAAACGTTTTTGTGCGTAGTTGAACAATATAAATCCACAGCGTGTGCGCACGACGTCCTTAGGACGTCTTTATTCATTCATCCCCAGGTGTAAGGTCAATGGTGGAGTGACATTCCCGACATGCTTTCCCGACATGCTTCGCACCTCCCTAGTTTCGTAGCTCGCACTCTGCTCGTGCAGCTGGCAGACTCGGCGTGGCTGCTGCGGGGCTTGTCCCTATCGGCGAAAGTAGATGAGAAGCCAAAGCTTTGGATAAGCCAGGCTCGGCGGTTTTAATGTTTTGTTTCTTGATGAGCAAAGCTGCAAACAACTCATACCGGTTGTTGGATACACAAATTACTCAGTGAGTGAGAACGTGTGTGGCTAATATTTATAGTTGCTGCTGTTTTGGTTAGTCTTAAACTGCCGCGAACCTATTAACTCTTTGCCACCTATTACTGGGTTTTACTCAACAAAATTTTAAAGTATTCGTATATGGGAAGCAGATATATCGATGCCACAGCATACTTTTTATTGGGCAGGGCTCTCTAACACTGGCCTAAACAAGGTACATGATTGAGTTAGCACTTTGCCGCTGCGGTAATGGGTCTACCGTCACCTGCTACTCAACATGCGTCCATGCTTAGTGATGTGGCATTTTAACTGCGGAAAGTCGAGCAAGTGATTGTGCTATCAGAACTTTGGCATAAGTTGACCTACCAAAAGCAACTAGAAACTAAGATAAGCTCATCACATCGCAGCATTTTTGCGTTTCATTGTCTGTGTTCTTCAAATGCTTTCGTGCATTGCGTACTTCAATCTGTAAATGGTGTTGGAATTCAACAAAAGAACCCAAGAAGTCTATACTGAGTGCATAAACAGAAATGTAAACAGATAGCTTCATAAAACATCCTGTTAGACTGCTCTCATTCTGTTTTTGGCAAAAAAAGTATAGCAAAGCAAAAAGTCGGTGCTGCAGCCGGCAGAAAAAGAAACTCTGAGCCGGATCAGGCACTCCTTCAGCTGGACTTCCCTCGGAGTTGGAATTTCCTCATCACATGATCTAAGACTTTTTTATGGCGTAGATCGGCACATGCGCGTGCATATTAAGCGGCAATCTTGTTCGGACATTCTAGATACTGTAATATGGGTTGTTTACCAGCACGTCATGAGGTGTGTCTGCATGTGAAAGTTATCTAAGTAATTGCTCGGGGCTTTATGTATCTAATTCATGAATTGACTCTGAGAAACGCAGTACTAGCGGCCAATGCAAATTTTGACTATATGTTGCTCTTTAACGCGCACTTAAATCGAACTAGTTTAGAACCTATCATATCTCCACCGGCAAATCGGTATCCTGTGACCTTTCGTGAACAGTCGAGCACGCGAACCGCTAAAATTACGGGGTGGTTAATATGTAAGCGTTAAAGACTTCGCTTAGATGTCGACCTCTGCATCGTTCCTACTTACCTTATCTGTAATAAGAGGCCTCTTACGCATTTTCTTATTCAGCAGAGTTATTGAACAAAGCCATAAGCGGGAAAATTGTGACAGTCACTCTTTCTTCACACCTCTGAGTTGATATTATGAGATGCCTCCTAGACTTGTGCATTCGCAGACAGTCCTTCCCAATTCCAAGTTTATTTATCCTTAGTCAATGTTAGCCGCTCACGATAGATTATTCGACTTTGTTAATGAGCTGCCACACATTCGTAAATTTTGAAGCTGTGAAAAAGTTGTCACTAAATATACATTTTCGACAAATATTGCAGTGTAATATACCAGCGATTCATCTGCTAAGCATTCATCAGTGATATTCTGCTTCTTTGGGCGAAGATCTATCTATCTATCTATCTATCTATCTATCTATCTATCTATCTATCTATCTATCTATCAATCTATCTATCTATCTATCTATCTAGTCGCTTACGACTCTTAGATCTCCTGGCCATTTAGATAATGGTGTCTATACCAAACTTGGAATGGCATAACGTGACTATATAACGAGCATACTCGCCTAGTCATAACATGAATATCATGACATGTATGTCAAGAATGTCATAATTTTACATTTCATGTTCCTGCTGCTCTTGCGGTGGTTTCATTCACATGACATGTTGCAAAACTGGTGTCAATAGACATGGTTGAATGGCGAACACAAGCGACAGATCCTAACAAGAAAATCATGAAATGCGTGTCATGTGACAACGTAACTACATGCCACGCTCATGATGCGCTTGCGGCTGTTTTGCTAGCGTCAAATACACCGAATTTGGCATTATGGTACGTGAATGGATGCGAATGTATGTGACCGGTGCAAACATGAAAATCATGAGATGCGTTATCATGTAACAACATGGCTACATGCCACGCTCATGATGCGCTGGCGGCCGTTTCGCTAGCGCCACATATATCAATTTTGGTATTACGGTACCTGAATGGATGGCCAAAGCTTGTGACTGGTCAAAACATGATAATCCTAAGATGCGTGTCATGTAACAACATGACAACTTGCTACGCTCATAATGTGCTCGCGGCCGTTTCGCTAGCTTCACATGTACCTAATTCGGTATTACGTGACGCGAACGGAAGACATAGGTAAATGACACATCCAATATAAACACGACATGCGTGTCACCTAACACTATGGCTACATGCCACACACACGATGCGCTCGTGACCGTTTCGCAAGCTTAAAATATGCCAAATTTGGTATTAAGTGACGTCAATAGATGACAAAGGATTATGACGGGTGCAAACATAATAATCATCATGTACGTGTCATGCGAGAACATGACAACATGCCAAAGTCAAGGCGCCAATAAATGTCGGCGTTCGTTTCATCGCGTCACGCCGGCGTTGCCACGCCACGCGCCGGTCCTGCCATATACTCGCAGACGCACGCCACTCTGCGTTGCTTTGACGCATGCGCGTTTCAGCGCATACAGCGTCCCTCCGTCACGAAAAGAGGCCGACTCAGTGCTGTCTGGGTAGCACATCTGTGTGAAATGCAGCATGTTGCATTTCGCGCTGGTTGTTATCGGGTGGTGCCGGTGGACGCTAGTCGCGCCTGGCGTGAGACTATAGAGTTCTCGCGTTTTGCTAACGTATAACGTCGCTGTGCCCAGCCTGCGCGCCCATCAACGTCACGTTGGAGTATATTGGGCTTTTCATGATGCACTCGTGGTCTTTTCATAAGCTTCACATATACCGAATTGAGTGTTACGTCACTATAATGAATGACGAAGGTATATCACTGGTGCAAACATGATAGTCATGCCACACGTGTCATGCAGGAACATGACAACACACCACGTTCACAGCGTGCTCGCCGCCGGTTCGCTAGCTTCACATACACTCAATTTGGCATCACGTGACGTGAATAAATGACGAAGGTAAACGACGCATCCAAACAAGATAACGATGACACGGAAGTCATGTACGGCATAATTTACGCCCACCTCGTAACGGTTGGTATGTGGGGTTTAACGTCCCAAAACCACTATATGATTATGAGAAATGCCGTAGTGGAGGGCTCCGGAAATTTGGACCACCTGGGGTTCTTTAACGTGCACCCAAATCTGAACACACGGGCCTACAACATTTCTGCCTCCATCGGACTCCACGTCGTAATGTTGGGGTAATTTTAAAGTGACATATCAACCTTCATCATTCGTGCTTTGCATATCATTGATTCCCACTGTACGTGGGATCTGCCAAATATTTAGTGCTCTTTAGTTTCTGTTTGTGTACAATAGCACGAATGGGGATAATACAAAGGTAGGTCTGTATAAATAAATATTGAAAGGTGGAATTCTGCATCGCGATTCAGCAAATGTCTCTTCAAATTGTCTTGTTGCACATCGCGCGCAGTACCAGAAAAACTTAAGGTTCTAAAACTTTGCGCCGTATACAAGGGTTTGTGTGTTCGTGTCGTATGCAGAAATTTACATATAGGCACCAGGTTCGTAAACTATTCAGGATGAGGCCCTGAATCGACGCTGCCACCAGTGTGTCCACCGCTTCATTTCGTGTTAGTGCAGTGTGAGTCGGCACTCAATCCAAACGAACAAGAAGAACTTGATTGGATATATCTGTATAAAATTCTACTAAACAAGGCGATGTCATTGGTACTGTCAGAGCAGTGCAAACAAACAAAGGATCGGTTAGTGTAACAACTGAAGAGATATAAGCTGAGAGCTTGCGTATGGCCAGACTCACTGTCATTAATTCTGCCTGGAATACCAGCGTAAAATTGGGCAGTCACAGTGAATAAGACCGATTTATAGCTGTTGAATAGATGCCCACTCCTGCTTTCTCGGCAATATCGGAAGCATTTGTGGCTATGGCTGAACTTATCAGTGGGCTATCGAGGTGGTCTTCAAACAACTCATTCAATGATTTAATCGGCAACAGTTTGTCATGAGCGCACCCGCGATCGTCATCTTTCTCTACTGCCACCGATCGGCGCTTGCTGTCGCCGCTCTTACACTGTCCTGTCTCTTTCGACAAAAGTGGAGAAAGCCTGGTGATGCAGTAGCTGCAAGCCCTGGCCACGACGGACCACACGTGGCACACAACACAACATGCCAGCTCAGTCAATCCACGCAGAGGGGCCACCTCCACCACCACCCAACAATGGAGGCACACCGGACTCGCTCAGGTTGACGAACATAGTCGTCGGCGATAGCATAACATAACAACGATGCTTATGGTGC